ATCCCGCACCAGTGTGTCGCAGTTAGCTTGTCGCAGGTATGACAGAGATATTTTTGATTTATGCCCAATTTTGCCCAATTTATTCAACGCCACAACACAAGAGGGACAGTCACAAACTAGCTGTAGGTGTAGATACGGCCGAGGCGGTGAGGAAGCAGAAAACGCAAGGGGCACATTTGTGAGACAACGGAGGGTCATGAGGGCGAGAAAGAGCGGGGATCAAGGTGGAGAAAGGGTCCCAGCGTTCTTGCGCACCTCACACTTCTTGCTGGTCCATCTTCACAAGTTGTTTTCCACAATGGCGGACAAAACAAAAGCCGATAAGGTACCAAACAGGAAATACGCACAGTGTAGAGCGAATTTAGATTTGACCAATTAGAGGCCTCCTGTTTGGAGAGGTGCACCAGAGTGTGTGTGTTAAATGCAACACATATGCAGATGACCTGGTTTCTGAGTATAAAGCAGCCTTAACCAACACCTCAATTGACCTATAAAATGGAAAAGGTTGAGTAGACACTGGAATGCGGGAGCCAAATAAAACTGCAGCATAGGATTTTTTTTTTTTTTTTTTTTTACTTATGTGAATGTCTGCAAAACTGATGACATCTACCAGTTGCTCTTCCATCTGTTGTTTTTATTATGTGATAATTGGCTGAACAAACTAACTTGGTGACTTGGTGAAAATTACATACGTTAACTCATGCAAGTGCTGTCATTGCATGAGCAAATACTCACTAATTATGAGACACATAGAGAGGGTATGAATGACTCATAAATATTAAGATCTGTAGGAGAAAGAAAATCAAACACACAAAAAAATATGTTAATATGGAGGAAAAGGCAAACAAGGACACCACAACTTTGAGGCATGCAGGTGTAGGCAGTCTACTAAAGGACAGGGATGCTCCTGATGGCAATCATATGCCTGTCATGGAAAAGGACTTCTTAGTTACTGAGATCAAAGCAGTATTGAGTCAAGTCATGTCTAGCTGGTGACATACTCCTAAGGGAGCAAAGCAGCACATCAACAGAGACACATTATTTGTTTACAGCAAGAATAAGATATTATTCTGCACGCCAGAAAGCAAAAAACAGCTTTCTATTGCTTCTTCAGTCCCAAGGCCAATCTTTGGATATCACAGGAAGACTTGAAGGTCAGTTAAAGCAGTACTAAAGAACTTTTAGTTTTTGTCAATTTTGCCCCGCCTTAGAAACTTAGTTGCATCAACTTCCGTCTTTCTAACCAATAAGGAAAGGAGTAGGTGACATTCAGTAAAGCAATCTGCACATTTGTAGTTGTTTTGTGTGGCAGGGTTACTGCCAATCTCTTCAAACTTGCTTATGCCACATTCAAACTGAAACACGGGTTAACCCGCCAACAAGAGGCATTTGGCTCTGATCCACGCTGGCAAGCTGTATGGCCTGTCTCCATACTGCTGGGTGCCTGGTGACATCATCAAGCCGGGTTAGTTTTGATGCTGTCACAAGTGTGACAGAAATCTTGAAAGTTGACAATGGAGAGTAACATATAAGGAAGCCAGGGCTTAGTAAGCGTATTTTTTGTGCCCTTTTATGTGTCTGAATTCCTCTTACCAGTGCTGCGCGATGTTTATCAAATTCAAGCAGAGTTGTTTCGGCTTGTTAGATCAGACAAGACTGGCACGGTGTGTTGATGTTCATACACTGTGCTCAATGGTATCACGTAAATTAGCAGGTCAACCCCACTCTTATGTTCCCACTGTATGTCGATCAGAGCCAAACCATTTAAAGGGGATTTTAATCCAGGTCGCTTATCGAGATGAGATGTTCCCACTACATCTAAAACAGGATTTTTCCCTCCTTTAAACAGTTTTTTCCCCAGTGGGAAAGGGGTATTGGTGTCGGTGAACGCGATGTGTGAGGGGAGGAAATCTGCTTGTCCCCAAACTAGAACCATCTGACCCTTGAATAAAATGAGAAATCCATCCATAAAGCTTAGGAACAGGAACAGTGACAGTGGGAAGTCCTGAAGAGGGCATTTAAGATTCAACACAGTGGCGGCTGGCCAATAGAGGGCGCTAGGGCGTCGCCCCACACCAAATGACTGATTAAGACAAAAAAACATTTTTTTTTTTTATACTTAAATTTAAAATCAAATTGTAAAATATTTCAAAATATATGTATATATATAGTTTAGATGAGTAAGATAAATATGTGTCCATTCCATTTTTTGTCAGATTGGTGGATTGGTATTTCCGCCCTAGGGCTGAAAATGTTTTGCCCATAGACTCTTCTTAAAAGTTGTACATGCGCTTCTCTGCAATACAAAGGTATAGGAAAGCTGCCCTAAGCTGACAGGAAGTGCATTTGCTCATCACCTCCCACCACAACTCAAACGTTTTGCTGGTGATTGACGGGTCGAGTCGTGGGAGTTGGAGACGCATTTGAGAGAGAGAGAAATGGTGCAAGAAATGTCCTTTTTCAGGACCTGGTTTAGCAAGAAGGCTTGGCTAGCAGCATGAAGCTTTATTCTGCTTTCCCTGCCTCCTTTTTCAAATGTCAGTATCTGATCCAGCAGGGAAAAAGAGAAAAGGCAAGAAAGCATGAACAATCTAGGATTCACATGGAAAATAATATTATATCGTGTACTTTTTCAAGAGGTTTGTTAATTTGCTTAGTTGCTCATAAATAAACACATTCTCAGAAAATGGTCTATATATAAAAAAAAAAGTATAAAGCTGATCAATAACTTCTCCATTATTAAACTGGCACATTTTTTTTTTTTAGGTTTGCGACATAATATTGGTCCATGCAAAACACAGATTTACCATCGCAAAACCTCAGAAGGGCAAGATTTATGTTCAAAAAGTAAACCTATGCATGAAATTATGTTTTTTTATATATAAAGTGTTTTCATAATGTTTTTTGTTGTTAGCATTCATATAAATATACTGGTGTGATAACTAAGTATATGTTTGATTGGTTTTTGGTATACGTCTATTTTAATTCATAGCCACCCCTGGAGAAAAGTTCACCAGCCACCACGGATACAACATATACCCTGGGATCATCGGAGCAATGAAACACCTGCACTACTTTAAAGTGGCGGTTGATGGAAGAGGGAATTCAACTCAAGTTGGAAACCAACTAAAATATTACAATTGCTTGTTACCCCAGGCTCACACCGACTCCGGTCTTACCGTTGCGGTGCGGTGGGTGCGGCGCCGCAGTGATTCCAAGTCATTAAAAAGACGTAAACCTCTCTCACCGGCTGCTGAGCTGTCCGGCTGCGGTTACGAGACACTCCGGCGCTGCAGAAAATTCAGCAAGAAAGCTATCCTTGCGGCGTGCCGGAGCCCTCCGCAACAAGCTCTCGCAAAAATCCTTTATTTGGGCCGTGTTATCGCGTGAAGTTACGTGAACTCAAGTGAACTTCTGTTAAATCTCCGGACCTGTTGCCGGAGCCGCAGAGCCGCACCGCACCGTAGTCAAAAGGGCGGTGTGAGAGGGGGTGTGCGGGAGTTGCGGTCTCCGTCGGCTCGGTAACTGCACCGGAGCCAGTGTGAGCAAGGGGTTATCCTCATATTGTAGGTTTAATGTACTTTCAACTGTTTGGTGAAGATCTAAGAGGTTTGTCAGAGAAAATAAGTGAACAAAATGCACCAGGAAGAACCAGGAGCACACAGAGAGGTCAGAAACAGAGCTGTGCAAAGGTTTAAAACATAGTGAGATTGTGTAACCGAATCTTCAGCTGTTACCACCCTACCGTGCATTTTTAAGTCACCCCAAAATGAAGTGATGCCACAATTGCAAACAAACTGTTTGTATGACAGAAGTTCTTTATAGAAAAGTGGCAAGAAGACATTCTGGACAGGAGGCCATACTGTAATAGGTACATTTGAACGTGTGTCACAAGCTTTGTAAAAGAAATATTAAATTAAGATCCTCTGGTCACTCAAGATCCTCATGCCATCATGTCAAAAAAGCCTTGCCAATAGTACATAATGGAAGTAGCAGCACCGTGCTGTAGGCTATTAAGATAATTCCTCTAAGCAGAGACAAATGAGATGCTGATTTTATGTATAGGTGAATGGAAATAAATACAAGTCAATTCAGTGAAAGGCTGCACAGCACATGAAACTAGGGAGGGTCGTGTTTTTCAAGAAGCCTACAGCTGTGTATTTTCATCCAGAGCTAAACTCGAATGCCTGAAGTCAAATAGCATATTCATGTAATATTCATGTGTTTAAATGTCTTAGTCAAAGTCCAAAACTAAAGCCTGAGCTTCTTTGCCTGGAATAATAGGAAAACAGCAATCTCTAAGAGTTTGTTGAGACAAACCCCAAAAGAGGTGCAGCCAAAGGCTGTGCTAGAAAGTACTGAGCTAGGTGGAAGTGGATGTAAATGTTAGTCTATAAGATAAAAATCCCAGCAAAAGATACTTGCAAGACAGGGAATAAAATTTCATTGAACATATAGAATCTTTAACTATCTATCAGCAATGTGATCGTGGAGAGAAAGATGGTAAAACAGAGCATCTATTTTTGTCCTGTGGAGCACACACACCGATTGCCTGCAGTGCCAGTCTCCGTTGTGATAGGCTTACAATCAGGAAACATTGCCAAGTTTAGCCAAAGGTTACAGGCAATCATTGTAATTTGCTAATGATAAGCTGCTCTGGTGTCATCAGAGCTTGCTGTAATGAGACATCAGAACTAGTAAAGTACTTTGTAAGTCTGAACAGTTGGCCAATTAGTTTGTCACTCAGAATACTCAAGGTACCCTCAAGGCTGCACGGAGATTGCAAAATATGCAAGCTGCATTATCTGTCACTGTTTTCTTGTTCTGCATATGCTGCTGCAGGCACAAAGTTGATTCATTGAAACCCCTTAAAATGCCTAACTCAATAACTCACTCGCTCTCTCGCTCACTTGCACACTCATTCACTAAGTCACTCATTAACTCGCTCATTCACTCACTTGCTCACTCACTCATTCGTTGATTCACTTAGTCACTAACTCGCTAACTTGCTCACTCACTTGCTCACTCGCTGACTCACTCACTCACTCATCTGTTAGATTTTGGGTTGATTTAAAAAGCACTGAAAGTGAAGGGGACTGACAGCTCTTACCTGAAGGCTTCGATGAGTCTCTCCACCTTCTGTGCTTCTCCTTGAACTCGAACATGAGCCTGAAACTTTCTCAGGGCCTCGTCAAGTTCCATTCCTGAGAAATCCATCTCATCCACTACACAGCTATGAAGAAGAGGCAGGTAGGAAAAAATAAATAAGAAGCTGGGTTCAGTAGTTGTGAGTAAATAAAATGCTCTGTATTTGCAGCAAATAGTGTCTGTGCTAATGCTAATTCTTTCTCTTTAAAGTCATATTTCATTTTCTGACCTAGAAGAATATGGCATATGTGAACACAGGTATGAAATAGAGAGGAAAGTATCAGGTCTCAGTTGGAGATAAGCAAAAGGAGGAAAAATAAAGAAATCCAACTGCGCGAGGACAAAGAGGAAGAACATGAAAGGCTGAAGCCAGGCAGTGGCATTAATGGAAATACATAGCAGAGAATCCAAATATACATTTGTGAGCTTGTGCATATCACACGTGTCTATTTAAGTCAGTGAACGAAAAGTGAGACTGGGTATTTATGAGCATGTTCGAAGCAGTGACCTATTTTTGCAATCTTTACAACAACCTCATCTAAACACCCCTCCATCCTGAATCTCTGAGCATCGATTAGAAGCAGAAAGGGTAGTTAAATACATTCATTCACAGATGCATTTCAGCAAAGTCTGCTTTGTTATCATGTGGATCTGTTAATGACACAAAATTACAATCTATCAAAATCCAATATAAAAAAAAAATCTCCCAATGAATCTTTTATCTTCCTAGTTAAAACCCAGTGAAGTAGGAAAACGATAATAGATAAAAATCTTCCTTTGCCTTTGATGTGATGTGAAAGCCAAAACAACTTTAGATGGGCTGAAAGGTCAGGTGGATTTTATCTGCTTTTGTTTCCAATATTATGGAGGAGCTTTGACTTTGATAGAGCATAATGTCAAAACAATCTATTAAAAACACCAGGTGATTTTAAAAACATCTGGGTTTGTTCACCCTCTCCAAATGTGCTTAAATGGTGGACTCCTTTTATTTCATTCCCATCCTTCTGTTTGTTCTGCCCATTAAAATGTGCTTTATTAATTGCTGGGTCTAGCAAAAGTATTCATATTTCCAAATATCTTCATGCTACACCCACCTAACTCGATATATTGATCTGGATGTTAGGCGATAGTTCAGCAAAAGTTGCAAAAAATCTTTAAAAAGTTTTTAAATTTTGTTATATATTCACACAACCCTTTCCAAAAGCAACCAGACAGGAAAATGGCTGCTAAATGATGAATGTAATACATTTATTAATGTTGTTTTTTACATAACAACCTAAGATCAGTCAGAATAGATGCAAGGCACCAGTGAACATCACCTTTAAAGACTCAACATTGATTCTCAATTGGCTGCATTTTTACTGGACCATTTGAACACATAAATGTGTTTTTATCTAAATCATGTGTCTGGGGTTATTATCCTGTTAAAGCCAGTGTTGCAACGATACCGATACCAGTATCAGGCAGGGCCCCGATACTGCACTGAAATGGTGGTATCGGTATCAGCGAGTACCAACAAATAGGGAACCAATACAATTTTGAGAGCCAACAGTTTATTCAACTATTTTCACCCATTCCAGGTAGGCAATAAAAAGTTCTACTGGATTCACTTTGTATTAGTCTTTTTCCTGCTTCACAAAGGTAGGCAGCATCTTGACAAAGCCATGATGGCAATTGTTTTACATCTAAATAGTATGCAGTTCTTCATATATAGACACACACATCAATTTCAAACAGATGGTATCGGTATCGGCCAATACTGCACAGCCAGGTATCAGGTATCAGTATCAGGGCCAAAAAATGGCATCAGCGCAACAGCTGAAGCCCTGGCCCAGTCTAAAGTCTTAACAGCCTTCAACGTATTTTGTTTGGACCTTGCTTCTGTCATTTTGGATTTTGCTCTGTTCTCAGAATCTGATCCTGAGAAGGGTTGTGTGTCCAAAAACACTGTTTGTGCATGCACAGCAGATGTTCAAAGTAGGTGCAAGGAGATTTGCATTTGCAATTTTGCAAACTACATAAGCAAACCATTTTTTCGTGTTCTACTGACCAAACTGTGCAGATTCATGGATGTACCTCAACTTTTTAACTAAACCTTTGTTAAAATTTTGCATCTTTTTTAGGTACTTCCGACGGTCAAATAAGGCAGGGGTTGAAAGTGTGCATCTCTTACTTGTTTTTATTGGTTTACACACCTTTATAAGATCAAGCTGCAGTTGCAAGGAGCTGGTGGAAATAAACCCAGCTGTTAGGGGGGTTCACCAGAGAGGTGCACAGTACTGTAGATATAATTTAGTCTTATCTTTATAATTTCTATAAGAAATTGTCAATATTACCTTCAGTTACATTCATCTTTTTTTACTACAATGACATGACTTATTTATATATATATGGGTAGTAACAGGATCAGTGAGACATTTCTTTGAAAACTAAAACTTTTAGGTTGAAAGCTTACACATCTTATGCTTTGAAAGTCTAATAGTAACATATATCATGCCTAGAGAATAGAGCATCTTACCAGTAAGTTTATAAAATTACCTTGTGACGTTAGAACCTATCATAAATTGTTCTAAATCTATTAAAACCTTTGTTATAAATCTAATACTCTTTAAGGGATGGAGGAGTATTCTCCTTCCACAGGGAGCTATGAACCGAAGCTGTAATCTGTAGAAAATGCGAGTGAGGGCCCTTTAAATGGTGTCTATGTTAAACTTATAAATTTTCATGTAGTTCAATTGTAATTGGCATAGTTTAGTTGAAATTTGAACTCTTAATACACATTAAACTCCTGCATATTCTTGAGTTTGAGAGATTATGTTGAACCTAAAAACTGTTGACAGTCCCTGAACTTTTTCTTATTTCATTAATGGGGAAAAGATGTAGACCCATAAATTTGTATGGATGGATTTTTGTGGCAGTTTTATAAAAGACAAGACAAAATACCACCACTGTAAAGTTCTTTCTGTTTCTTTATATCAAAATTAAAGGGCATTTGTACTTGGGATCTCAAAGTCAATAGAAATACCATTATAAGCAATTAAATCTGCAAGTCCTTTCTTCCAGGGCTGCAATGTGTTCAAGTTCATCAATATTCAATTCAACTCTGAGTAGCTTTCACTTCACTTTTGAAGAAGACATCTCATCAGCATAACCCCACTACCACCGTGTCTTACTTTGCAGATATTGGGCTCAGAGTGATATGCTGTGTAAGTTTTACAATTACAGCACCGTTTTAAAAACTTATTCTCATGGCTGATTGCCTCATGCAAAAGATAGTTCTTGTGATTTCTGTCAACCTAATTTATGAGTAATACAAGCTAGTTTTGTTCAATGCACCACTTAAAACTGTCATCAATTGTTTGTTTGACTGTTAGAGCTCCTCTTCCTTTATCACTGTTTAACCCCTAAACAGTCAGCCTTGGCTAAAACCTATTGGCTCCTTAACCCTCAGGTTGTGGATTAATGTACTTCTTTTGTAGTTTCAATTTCAGATTCTTTTGAGAATGATGATGATGTTGATGATCTTCGTATTAAAAGCAAATGTTTAGAAGTCTTACTTTTATTCATGACCTGTCTGATGTATTTCTTGGGCTTTTTAAAATTAACTTATTGGGTGAGCGCTCCTACATTATGATGTTTGTATTAGTCTTTACCCCCTTCCAGTGTATAGATGAAATATTTATTATTTTATCTCTGTAGACTTAGACAAACTTTATTGTTCTTTTGTATACACAGAGTATTGTACGTTCATTTTTTATAAACTCTCTGTATACAAATGAGGTCTTTACAAAGCAGTTCTTAACAGTTTTATGGTCCTAGATGTCATTGATCTAGTGAAATAAGAGTAGTACAGCACTCTTTTCAGATTTGTGCGTATTGGCGTTTAAATGCTTTTGCAAGGTCCGGTGCATGTTGCTCTCAGAGCCGGAAACTTCAAATATATTTAGTGCACTTACTCCAGGACATCTCTGTTAAACTGCAGCTTGCTGTTGCCCAGGAATTCTCCAATCATCTGTCGGCTGAGTCCCTTCCTCTGCAGCAGAAAGTGTGCCACTCCTATGGCCGTGTCTGGGACGAACCCACGTGTGATCAGGAAGTGGATGCCTCTCTCTGGGTTCCTAGCATTGCGAAACACAGAGAAGCAGCAGTGTTAGAGTTGGCACTGTAGGTTTGAATTTCGTACTTTTAAATGTAAATGTTTAAGTGTGTGTGTGTGTGTGGGGGGGGGGGGGTGGAGACAGAAGATGTGTAAATGCGCTTAATATGTGTGAGTGTGGGTGTTAGAGATTGTCCTGTTAAAACTGTTAAAAGAAGCATGCATTCATGCAGAAAAGCTGTTGGCTAAAGACTTTGGGATCAGCTCATCTGTCACTGGGCTCATTCACTTTAATTTGTATTAACCAATATAAAATGAAGGCCAACCGTGTAATCTATTTATAGAACCTGAGCAAATCTCACATTGTCAATGGCCTCCTCTACTGTCTCCACTATTCTGCTGCACTTTAAACTTCTCTTTTTCTACATCTTTTTCTGATATTCCTTTTTATGAGCATCACACAATCACAAGATGCTAATAAACAGACACCTCCCCCTGGCAATTACAAGCAACAATATAACGATTTTAAAGGGTTGTTGGGAGTTTATTCAAAACAAACATCAATGCTTTGAAGTCTTTGCCAGCGGATGCAGAAATATTTAACATGTTTATATTTTGTCACAGAGCTTTATAAGAACTGCCAGCCCACTCACACATTGAACAGGTTGAGTCCAATCCTGTAGAGGCGTTTGCGATGGGTATCAGTGGACAGGGTTGGGGAGCGGCAGGAGATTGGATCCTGGCAGCGGTCCCTTGGCAAAGACACGACCAGGGCCTGGAGGGCCTCAGGGCTCGAGCCCCCAGGGACCTGCTGAGGATGAGTGTAGTGATACTGCTGGTACTGGGTGTAAATTTGAGCAGGCTGCTGATTAGACTGGACTGAGGTGGACATTGAGGTGGACGTAGAGGTGGAAGTGGAGGACTCCAGTCTGTCTGAGCTGTTTTCTCCCTCCATTCCGACCCCCACTGCAGCTGTCACTGCCGAGCCCCGCCTGGATCCCGGATC